AAGCAGGAAGGGGTTGTTGTTTAATGAGCACATAGTTTATGTTATAGATGATGAAAAAGTTTTAGATGCAGATCCTAGTAATAGTTACACAACACTGTGAATGTATTTAATGTCACTGAATTATACATTTACAAAATGGTTAAAATCATACTTTGTTATGTATATTTTGCTAAAATCAAAAAATAAAAATCAACTACTCTATAACATCAATCTTTCCAACTTTATAAATTTTCTTCTAATAAAGTAGTATTTCAAAACTAGTTTATTCAGTAAACACAGACTTAACACAAATCAAGCAAACAGCAATACCTCAGTGACTGGATTTTTAAAAAAATTCTGATTCCAGTTCTTTACAACCTCCCTTACTTTCAGACACACAGATGTATGTATATGCATGTACTTCAACATCAAGGAAATACTTGAAAAGAAAGAACAGGCTTTTAAGACATGTTACTGGGGTGAATACACATAAACCAATAATATAGCTTCCTTGACACAGGCAATGACTCACTTCAGTGCTGTTAATAAAACAGGCTGTCAGGCAAAACTGCCTGGACTGGAATTCTGGTTCTGCTACTTTTCTAGCTATTACTTAAACAACTTGAGCCCCCAAGTTTACTAATCTGTAAAATTAGAATATCTACTTCAGATGCTATCAAGAATAAAACTGAGTTAATACAAGAAGTATGCTCAGAACAATGTCTTCAATAGTAAGCATTCAATAAATATTAGCTATTATTTGTATTATTACTCAGTGAAAACATGAAACCACACTAATACAATAGATCTGGTTCACTAGCAAATAAAAATAGATTTTCTGAAAACTAAGGAAGATATTGAATAATCAGTGTTTGTTTTCAAGCTGTAAGGCAACAAGGAACCAGATTAAATATTTTCCATTTAAAAATTCCAAGTCTCAACATTAATTTAGGACCGCACATCCATTAATGTTTACTCTGCTCTCCACTACAGAACTTCCTCTACTTCTCACACTAATCTATTGTGGCCAGAGAGACTTTGTTCTCAGTGTTAATAAGGTCTCACATATGTTTGTAAGTATGTCGAGGGGGAGAGGAGGCACTACACCTCTCCTCTCCCGTTAACGATCTGACGGTCAGAGTCCTTTGGACGAGCACTGTCTAGCACACCTTATCACTGCTAAGGTGCTACTGATGCTACGAAACAACTACAGAGTTCGCTACAAACTTCACCCTCCAAACAAAGCATTTCGGAAGGAATGATGATCACGCAAGGACAAAAGGCATAACATAGGACTGTTCTGGGCAAGTCTGGATACATCATCACCCTATTTATGAAAAAGTTGGTAACACCCCAAAATATGGACTTCATATATCATTACTTATTTGTCCCATCATATTTAGGACTATAGTTTTAAAAACTTACACATTTGAAAGCTAATGTTAACAAAGGCAAAATTAAAATGTTTAAATTAATTTTTGAAAGATTTTTTTTTTCCTTTTAGTATTTCTCAGCAAAGCACAAAGAAAACCTAGGGTTTCTCATAGAAAATGGAGTTTACTTATTAAGGCAATGCTTACAAAAGACTCCTGAGCCACAGAGCCTTCTTTTATTAGCTTCATATGATTCTTTTTTGTTTTGTTCTGTTGATTTTAGAGAGAGAGGAAGGGAGGGAGAGAGAAAGAGGCAGAAACATCGATGAGAGAGAAACATCAATTGGCAACCCCACCTGCGGATCCAGCCCACAACTCAGGCATGTGCCCTGACTGGGAATCGAACCGATGGCCTCTTGGTGGATGGGACGATGCTCAACCAGTGAGCAACACTGGTCGGCCTAGCTGCAAATGATTCTTAAGGTGATATAAATTACCGTAAACTGAAAAGAACATACAGTAATCATGTGGTTCTTTGGTAAATTATGTTAAAATGCGGCTTTATCAAGACCTATATTCAGCTGGTATGTATGTATGCAGCCACAGTGTTGTTTAAAGCCAGTGCCCATTCTGATTGGTAAGTGCCTGTGTGACTGTACCAATTATCAACCTGAAAATCCCCATATTACAAGTACATATATTACAGATAACTCAATTAGGTAATATATTTGGAGAACCTGAAGTATACACAAGACAATTGTGATTAGCACTGTGGGGAAACATACTCTCTCCAACAGCTCATAATTAGTAAAACTGAAGTACTTCAGTTAGCTTCAACTTACAAATATTTGATTTTTTGTATGAATTGATATCTTCCCCCACCTCAATCCAGCAAATATACCACAGTTAGGTACTGGTCTCGCCCGGCCAGGCGTGGCTCAGTGGTTGAGCGTGGACCTAGGATGCAGGCGATCAGGGTTCAATTCCCGGTCAGGGCACATGCCCGGATTGCGGGCTGCAGCTGATCAATGACTCTCTCGTCGTTGATGTTTCTATCTCTCTCTCTCCCTCTCCTTTCCTCTCTCTGAAATCAATAAAGATAAATAAATAAATAAATAAATAAAATAAAAGAACTGGTCTGAATTTGTATTCCTTAAATGTTGATAGGACAGCATGGAAGTGTAATCTGAAAATAAGCATCAAAGGAAATCTGAATAGGTATTTAAAAGATGGAAAGGCTGGCCCAAGCTGGACTGGCTCAGTGGTGAGAGCATCAGCCCTGGGACTCTTTAGTCCCAGGGCTAGATTCCAGCCAAGGGCATGTACCTCG